TGTGGGTTTTGAGATTGTGTTTGGTATTGGAATTGTGGTGAAACAAAATTTTCTTGGTGATAAAATTTTGATGGAACCTTTAAATTTTGAGGTTGATAACAACGTTGTACATTGTGAGCACCATAAACTGGGGTTGAAGAACTTAGTTGATAACTACCCGCTACTGACCCAACTTCACTACTTCTAGGTTCAACAACATACAATGTAACATCATCTTGCGAAACACTAATGTAAGCAATGAATCGTTCAACATCTTCATTGTCGGTTAACAAATAAACTTTACCTTTTCTCTGATAAGATAACCTAAATCCACTTAGAGGCTCTAAATTCAATTTCTTTGCAACACGTAACATTAGAGTTTCATAAGTTAACTTTTTTAATGACAGTTTTAGTTGAAGATTCATGGGTAAAGGCATATATTGTAAAACACCATGAACATTCTCCCATGACCCTCCAAAACACAAATATATCCAAACATGATCAACATTAGATGATTTAATTTATTGTAAATTAATTTACTAAACAAACGAGCTATAAACTAGATATCATCACTAACTTAGAGAAAACATACATTTATTAAGTTGACAGTTGATAATTTGGGAGAGAAATCATTGAAAAATTATATAGAAATAAAATTATGTAAAAAAAATTAGAGATGCGGAAGGATGTAGTTGGATATAGGAACAAATGTCGCGGAAGAGAGTGATAGATGGAGATGGAATGAGTTGCGATTTAGGGATTTAGGTTATGAGTTGTTGCTGCTGCGTAGTTTATATACCCAAAACATTTGTGTTGCGAAAATAAAAGTTGTTGCGAAATTTAAATTCGTGTTTCGTGTTGCGAATTCGAAAATCGAGTTGCGAAAACAAAATTCATGTTGCGATTTAGAAAATCTTGTTGCGAAAAGGAAACTTGTGTTGCGAAAAAGAAATTCGCGTTGCGAATTTAGAAATCGAGTTGCGAATTTGAAATTTCGTGTTACGAATTTGGAAATCGCATTCGAATTGGAAAATCTCGTTGTGATTTCAGAAACTGAGTTGCGAATTTGGAAACTGTGTTGCGAAATTGGAGTTTGTGTTGCGAATTTGTTGGTCATTTTCGCAAATCCAAAAAAATTGGTTAAAATCGTATATTATAAGGCATTTTCGGTCACTAAAGTTATTTTCTCAATAATAAAATAATTTTATAAATATAATTCACAAATTAATAAATGACGTAAAATAAACTAAATTTTTTTTATCATCAGATAAATGAAAATTATTATTACCTCATTGACCATGTAGTATATTTTTTATTTATCCCAATCCATCTAATAGAAATTTGTTCAAGTTCAAAAGCATTAAAAAAAAATACGGAAATGGGACTTATAGTAAATTTTCTTTTTGAAAATTATTATTGATAAAAATGATAAATTGAAATTAACTCAAGTCTCATAACCATGCAAACTAGTTGCATACATAGGGCTGTAATTGAATCGGACTTGAATGTATAAGGTTGTATTCATGTTCCTTTGTTATTTTTGAAGGTGTCTATATTTGTTTTTTGTTCATTTAAATTTTAATATCTTATTCGTGTTCGATTCATTTAATATTCACAAACATATTCATTTAATATTCACGAATATGTTCATTTAACATTTGTTTCACGATTAGCAACTAGCACTCTTTTTATTTTCCCATTTACTAGTCAAAGAAAAATGGTGAAATTATGTCACTAGTCCTTAAGATCCTTATACTTCACAGTTTAAACTCCAAAGTTTACTTTTATATTCAATTTAGTTCCTACCTTCACCCAAGGCCATGTCTAGGCCTGGGTAGGAGGGACTTGCTCAGGGCCAGAATTTTTATAATATATTATACTTGTAAAAAATAATTTTATATCCGTTATAGGGTCCAATTATTTTTAATACTTGCTATTAGGGGTTCAATTTTTTCCTAATATTTATTATTATGGGCTTAATTTTTTTAATATTTATTATTAGGAGCCTACTCTTATTTTTTTTTCTAATATTTGCGTAAGTGTCCAATTTTTTGCCAATATTTTTTTCTAACATTTGTTATTGAAGGCCTAGTTTTTCAATACTTGTTATTAGGGTTCCAATTTTTCAATATTTATTATTAGGGGCATGGTTTAATTTTTTTCTAATATTTATTTGTTGTTATGAGTCTAATTTTTTAGTACTTTTTATTAGAGGTCTAATTTTTTAATATTTGTTATTATGAGCATACTCTTAAAAAAAATTCAACACCTGTTATTATGAACAATTACTTAAATAATGATTTGTAACTGCAACAATTACTATTATGCAGTGGTAATGACATTATTCAAAACTACGACATCCACAATTGTTGTGTCCACAATAGTATATATTATTAAAAATCCACAACCAAGATACTTGTAGTGACTTCAATATCATCCGTTAGTCCGCAATAGCGATAAACGTAATGCAACCGAAGACACAAATGCAAATTGTAATTTAAATCTCTGATTAGGAGCCTAATTTATGGTTTGTCAGGGCCACCAAAATCTCATAAACGGGTCTACGTTCACTGATGTTTAAAATGTAAAAAAAATAAAATAAAAGAAAAAGGAGAATTGAGTAAATGAACTTCCAAACGAATCAATAAACGAGCTTATAAACGTAACATGACCGAAGATACAAATACAAAGTGTAATTTAAATATTTGATTAGGGACCTACTTTTTTTGGTTCGCCCAGTGCCACCAAAATCTCAAAAACGGTTTTGCTTTCACTGATGTTTAAAATGTAAAAAAAAAATAAGAATTGAGTAAACGAGCTTTCAAATGAGCTTGTTCATGAACATAAACGAAAATAACACGCCTATATTTATGTCCGTTCGTTTATTAAATAAACATAAAATTTTTATTCAAATTTGTTTAAACTTAATAACGAACATAAACAAATGTTAAATAAACAGTTCACAAACAGTTCATCAAACATTATGTTTATCTACACTCCTATTATTACAGGCCATGGAATCTCATAACCCCATTTGTTATCAACCTCATCGTACGCATACAATCCGTATGTCCCAACCCCAATTGCACCATTTATAGCACCACGTGTCCTAACATCAAGGCCAGTATCATATAAAAGGAGATGCCCTTTCCTTGTCGTACCTCCATCCTTGAACTCCATGTCGCATCCGATGTTCGCATGCTGGAAAGTAAACACGTCCATGAAAGCCGTTTTGAATTCTTCATCTTACTCCAGGTTCCGTGTCCCCATATCATCACTGTTCCACAAGCAACGGATCATCATCGTCTCGCGGTTCTCGAGCTTGTTTACGACGTTTACATGTCGTCGGCCGAGGTAAACCCCCGACGATGGTTCGAATCTAGCTAGCAAAGCAAGAAGGAAGATCACGCCCAAGTCCAAAGAACTCATCACCTGGTGTTTTTCTAATAAAAATGATGGAATAAAGGAAGATTAAAAGAAGAAAGAAGAAAAAAACTAACGTTTAGCCATGTTTTGAACCCAACATTGTACTAATTCCTGCATCATATAACATGATTTTTTCAAACTCATTCTTGGGTACATGGGTTTGAACATCACGTTCATCCCATGTATTGCATGTACCATGCAAGGAACACTACAGCTTTCGTGAGAAAAGAAACATAGGTGTTTGTATATCATGTTTTAGATAAAAATAATGTTGTTTCAACGAAAGGTCACGAGAACTAGACGTAACTGCAGTCTATGTTTAGATATTTAGAAAAGGGAAAATTGATGGGAAAAGGAAAACATATAATTCCAATCGGAATTACTTCATCATAGGTTACACTTAATTTGCTCTAGTTCTCAATGTACAGAAAATCTTAAATCTTAACGCCTTCATGTGAGGAGAATCGAATATGATCTGAATATAATTTTGACTTGAATTGAAAAACTTACGTTCTGATCTGATTAATGAAGAAATAAATTTAAAAAAATGAGAATAAATAATGAGCTATGACTTCGGGTGCGGAGCTGTATGATACATTACTTTAGGGTTTTGAGTATCGTGCAATTATAAATATGCACTTAGAATTTATAGATTTATACGAGAGCCCTTTGTATGATATTATGTCATTTTAGTTTTTCATTATGTTGATATCTCTTGTATTTTATTGTTAACAGAGTAAATATTTTTCATTTTTTATATATATATTTTTAAAAATTGTTACATAAAATATATATTTATTCCTATTATTCTTATCATTTCACGACCGATTAGTCATTATTATGCATAACACATTCCTCAGTCATTAATATATTCTTTCCTGTTTTCTCCTCTCCACCCAAAAAATATACCTTGATGATCAATACATACTCTTTTAGACAGAAATAAACTGCGATGGCATGAATTAAGTAACCTTAACGTTAAGATAAAAAGTTCGTTGTCATTTTTAAAGGTCATGAATTCGAGCACCATCGATTACAGAGTATTTAAATATTTATTATTAATTGATTAAAAGTCTCTAGAACATATACTACCATTTATAATTATCCTAGATTAATATAAATAAATAGCTAACTATATCAATAGATAAATTACTATCACAATCAATAAATTTAATGTTTTATTGAAGGTAACCTCAAATAAAACTAGCATTTAACCATAATTAATTAGAGAGACCGTTACAAATTGATACTATCTCCATCCCACTAAGAATGTCTCTGAGCACGATTATTTTAAATATTTAAAAAATAAATTTTATTAAATACACATTTAGATACTGCTTGATCAAAGATTTTTAAAATATTTTTTATATTTTTATCAACAATAAATTTTAAATAATAATAAGTCAATTAAAAAAATGACTAAAAAAATCGATAAAGGACATTTAAGGAGTAGTAATTTATGCCATGAAATTACGATGAGCTATTTTGAAGGTAACGTCAATATATAATCTTGCTCGACTAAACTTTCAAACCATTAAATGTAAATATAAAAACAATATTTCCGATTGACGTGATAAGGTATCGAATTAATAAAAAAACTGCTTACAATTACATTGCTAAAACTACTGGCTTGTTAAAATATTGATTTATAAAAAATGTTAAAGGCTATATACTCGGCACCTACAAACAAATTAAAGTCCTTATCTGTAAAGAAATCGTAAAAACTATCTTCTCATCTGTGTGAAAAGCTCAGATGGTTTTCCAGTTTGTCCACCACCTCCAAAGGCTGAGAAACCACCAGCATTTGTCGGTTGGCTGCCAAAAGCGCCGAACCCGCCACCCCCTGCACAGATACTTACATGGAATAAGTCGCGACTAGCGATCAAATAAAAAATATGCGGAGCAAAACAAGGAAAAAAATTAAACACCAAATTTCACCTGTTGCAGCAGCAGCAAATCCTCCAGTGGCGCCAGAACCACCACCACCTGAAGCCAGACCGCCGAATCCACCACCACCTGAAGCCAAACCACCAAAGCCACCAGTAGTAGAGGTCATACCAGCAAACCCACCTGTTGCAGCGTTAGAGAATCCAGCAGCAGATTGAGGACTTGCAAAACCACCACCAAAACTGCTCCCGGAAGCAAAACTACTTCCTGATAGAGCAGTACCAAGCTGCCGTGACTGCCCAAAAGCACGAAGAACTGACCCCAAAGCCTGTTGTCCAGCTCCAAGCTGCGCGGGTTTGCCAAAAGCACCTTGAGCAGGAGCTTGACCAGGTATGCTAGATGCAAAACCACCAGAGAATGCACCAAAACTTGCAGGTTGAGCCGATTGGGAAGGCTGTGGAGGTTGGAAAGTAAAAGATGCAGGTTTAAACAACTCCCCGGTATGAACAGTTGGGGTGAATGAAGAGGTAGCTGGACTTGTCGCCATAACTTCAAATGAGGCTCCAAATGGGTTAGGCTTAGGAGCAGTTGGATTAGTAGTTGAGCCAATTCCAAAGCTACTTAAGCTTCCCAAGCCAAGTTCAGCCACTTGGCTTGTCTCGGGAGCCTCCTCCTCCATCTCATCCTCTTGTGTGACATCCAATGTTCCGCTTTTTCCATCAACAGTACTAATGCTAGTTGACAATGGTGCTGAAAGATTATCTCCCGCAGAAGGCTGCAGTGGCTGAGCATTTGATGCCAAATTAGTTAAAGGACCTGCAACATCAATGATGCTGGTTTGGCTTCCAGATGACACTCCAGTAGGAGTCACGCTTTTCATTGGAGATGATACTGCAAATTGAGGCTTCAAGCCCAATTCTGCTGCTGGAAATTCATGTTGCAGAGGTGGTGTCTGTATCATCGAATCTGCGTCTTTTGTCAAGCCAAGTATTTCCTTACGCAGTTGAGCCTCAATTTTCAAAACATCAGACGAATTCACAGGAGATGGATCAGAAGGCAAGGGCACAGGCACTTGGAAAGGGTGAATGGACGAGGAAACAGAAGAAACAAAAGCAGGGAAAGGAACAGATGATGAGGAAGATGAATTTTTTTTATTAGCATCATCTACTGAAACTATAGAACTTGTTGTAGATTCACTAAATTTTGTCGCAGGTGATGAAGTAGATGCTGCTGACAATGATGTTGAAAAGGAAAATTTTGGCGCCAATGTAGAACTAGTTGCTGTAGATGATGAGACATTAATTGATGTGGTGATTGATGTTTCTGATGGAGTCGGCATAGTTGAAAATGATGATGATAACGATGGAGTTGATGAACTGAATAATGATGACGAATCTGAAACTGGTTTAGAGAATGCAGGAGACTGTGGTACCTTTTCAATTAGCTGGCTTTTGCTTGCTACAGTATTGAATTGTGAAACTTCGGCATATGGGGCAGCAGATGAAGGAAAAGCAGCTTGAGGTATGAACTGAGAGTTGGTACTGTTAGAAGAACCAAATAGTGTACTCTTTGTTGTAGATGGCACATGTTTCACATCCCCTAAAGCTGAATTTACAAGCACGGTCCATTTGCGATCTGATGTCAAGACATCAGTAGATTTCTTTGGCGATGAAGCCACCTTGGAGACCGATGACTCTTGATATAGATTAGGTCTAAACTGTAAACTGGCATGACTTTCATTCTCATTGAAAGATGTATTAGACCTCTCACCCTGAGAAGCTCCAAAGTTTTGTTTAGCAACAGGGATACAGCATGTTTCACCAGAATGATTCTGCACCATCATAGACTGTGATCCTGATGTTGATGACAAAGCAGTGAAGTTACTTGTTTGAACTGTAGAAGATTTCCACCCAGCAGACTGTGGTGGTTGTAGAGGATTGTTATCCCCTCGGAAAACATTTGACTCAGATTGCTGTTTTGGTAATGCATCCAGACTTCTTGTTTTAACTAAACAAGTATGGAAGTAAGAATTAGCAGTTGTCTACATAGCAAACAGCTAGTAGTAGCTAATAAACTTAAATAATAGAAGTACGTAGAGAAAATACTTAACAAGAAAAATAGCATGGATATAGTAATGCCTCACCTTCTTCATTTCCAGATTTATGCAATGTGGTTGAAGTTGCTGTAAGTTCCTTCGAAAAGAAACTTTTTGGTTCCTCAAAAGCATTAGGACTAAAGTTATGCTTATCTTTTATAAGTGATCCTTTTACATCTGCTGATTCTTGCAGAAGCATCCTTTTTACAGTAGTTTTTGGAGGCTCAAAACTAGCCCAGCTCTGCCAAACATAAAATCTTGTCACAATTTGCGAAAGCTCCCAAGAGTAAAATGGAAGGAGACAAGAACATGATATATGCGAGTATCTATAAGAACCCTAGAGATATACCATACGTAAATATCTGAAACAAGTATTAATGTTTGCAGATGCAAAAGAGTTCAAGTAAAACCCTAATAAAAAAGTGCAATCAAGAAAATTAGAAGAAAAAAAATTGATAGGAATTGAAGGCCTCATTAAAAACCTCCTCTTTGATTAGAGGGGTTTATAGAGAAGCTCCTTAATCAGCGGAAGGAGGAAAAGAGTGCCTTAGGATTTTATTAAACATAAGAAAACCAAGATACAACCAGAGATACACCCCCAACATAAAACAAAACAACCAAAAACAACAAAAAACAACCCCAAACAGCAACAGTAGCTCAGCCTAATCCAAACATAGCTACAACAACAGCCTCTAAAGGATTGACCCGACTAAAAGCCTAACTCTTGGCTCGAAGGGTACCCCAAAACAAAACACCTAAAATAAAAGCCAAAAATAACAGCTAACTGAAACCATAGAAGCCAAAATAAAACACTACACCAGGAGCTTGCACATGAAGAGTGCAGAAAATCAAGCAACAAAAACACTCAAAACGCCTTTATGCCATTGAATCTCGTCTTGTCGATGGAGACCATCCAAACCTCCAACTCCTAAAAACAAAAAATCCAAAGTGAATCACCTGAAACTAACAATACTTCCCCTGCCATAATCTTCCGAAATCAATGTCACTACTGAGCCATCAACCTGAAAATCCATAATCGGAATCAATAATCTTCTGAAAACTCCCTCACGTTGCCCCTGCTTCTGATTCTTGCTTTGGCAGTAGTTAGCCTTTCTTAGGGGACCCGGAAAATTCTCTTCAAAGGATTGGAGAGAGTTTAATTTATTAAATTTATTAATTTTCCCCTCTTTTGATCTCTGGATCTGCCTGGAAATGAGCGTGGAAGGCTCAACCCTCGAATGAGATGACAAGCCAAGGCTCTGTTCCAAATCCTTACCAACCATCCCTGATTTAGTTCTGCCATCCAACCTGTCAACCATAGCCCCATCCTGTTGGGCATCCTCACCCTTGGAACTACTGAAAGCATGCTTATTGATAAGGCCCATATTATTCACGTTCTTCATCACCTTTGACTTTAACCAACCATCCAAGATGGGCGAATCAATAAAAAAATCCAACATTCCCTCTAAAACACGTGCAGACTTACAACATTTGCTGCTTTCAAATCCTGTCTCTCTCACCGCGTGCTCCAACACAATCTCGTGCTCCACCACATCCTCGAATTCCGTTGGAATCTTTCCTCTATTAGCAACATTATTCCTTAGACCCATAATAAATTCTTCCCCTATGTTCCTTTCCACCACTTACCCACCCGACAAGTCGCAGTCACCAATTCTTTTCCCCATACAACATAACAGACTTTCTTCATCCAAAGAACGCCTCTCGGATTTCTTCTCCTCCAATGAGTCCCCGCTTCTTCCCGCTCCCTCAACACATACCTCCACCACGGGAGAATAAACTGGCGAGACACCAACGAGCTCCCCCTCCAAGGATAATGGGGAGGCAACAGCCTCATCCATCAAGAACGAGTCTGTCCAGACAGAATCTGGACTGAAACAAGGCTCAAACTCAGAAATAAAAACTGTAAATCTCAAATCCCCGACTTTCAAAACAACGGTTCCTTCCACTCGTGCTTGGCATTTCGTAATAATCTGAAACAATGCCCTGTCGAAAGAGCCTGGATTCACGGTTCCTTCTTCAATGGAGATAAGTTCTCCCCATTTGTCTGCAATACTTTTGAAGGTGGAATGACTCCACAGAAACAGTGAGATCCCTTTGCACGATAGCCACGGCCGACGGCTGCTGCATTGAAAGTTTTCCGACCACACTTCCACTTTTTCAAAACATTTATTCAATGCCCCCATCTTATTCTTCAGCGTGAAATCCTTACTCTCTTTGTCTTCAAAAATGATTAAAACTGCTAACCCGCTTAACCTCATAATTATCGGACCTAAAATGCCTTGTGCATAATAACAGCCAACTCTTTCATTTTAATAAAATTTCTGCACCAAGCTGTCTCTGAGAGTTAAGAGCTTAGCTTGTATAAATTTAATTGTGTGGATGATTGCTATCTAACTGTTTGAAAAGATAGTAGTTTGCCAATGGGCTTATAGACTGAAAGTACAAAAAAAATTCACAAATAAACTATTTTACAAAGGTTCCTGAAAAATTAGTATTCCGAGGAAACAGTTATTTACATTCATATTACCGCTTCCATCAAAAAAATATTAGTTTATGTCCTCTAATACAGTTTATCAAAAGGCCATATGCAAAAATGCACAACAGAGAAGGTTGTAGCAAACTTGCCCCATAATGCACCATATCCTATCATACCCATAGGTAAGATGTATTATTTTTGTATCTTTTCATCGAGAAAAAGCTAATAGAAAACATCTCTTATTTGTAGCTGACTAGTTTGACTTTGACCTGTTGTCAAAACTATTGATAGATAACAATAACATTAGAGGAACAAACAATGGATAATAATGGTGATGTTATGGTTGGCCTTTGTAGTCAATATTATTATTGGCATCAATTATTTGGTAATTATAAGGAAATCAGACTATTAGTATTTTGTTAAGAGAAATATTAGATCTTATTTATAAGTATCTTATAAGTCTTTCCTTAGTTGGAGACTTGCTTTAGCAAGTTTTCTTTGGACTCTGTAAACCTCTATTTAAGAGGCCAATTTGGAAGAAATTAAGTCCTTTCAACAAGTTCTAAGGCTTCCGACTCCCTCTGACAAGCTAATTTATCGATCCCAAACACGAGACCGTAACAGGGGAAGGATTCCAATTTTAACTAACAGAAAGAAAAAAGAAAAGTTGAATAACATAGTATTTTCTGACCAGTCTGAAGCTACTTCAGAACAATCAAATGTATCTTCAACTAGACATTCATAGATAGAAGCAGATCCGGATATAAAGTCCTCTATAAGATATTGAAAGCATGGAATAGCCCAAAAATATATTACCCGGTCCAGTGAGTCCCTCCTCCTCCTAGAATATTCTGGGTCAGAACTCTTCAGAGCACTGGATTGGTTTCTCCTCGACTGATTTCTAGAAGCAGAGGACCCAGAGGAAATAACAAATTTCTTAGAACTATTGCTAGGCTTTGTAGCACGTGGAGAGGTTAGAGAGGCATCATGCGTTATTCCAATCATTTGAAACAACTCCTTCACATTTTGTTGTTTCACAGGTGAGTCTACACTCAGCATAGCCATTTGTTGCGAGAGATGAGCAGAAAGTTGCTCGGCAGCTGCTAGTTGTGAACTCATTGTGCTATGTAAAGAATGCAGGGACTGAAAGTGTCTGCAATAAAAACTGCTGCGTTTAACAATATCTGTAAAAGCTATATGTACATATTCACCGCCATAAATCTGCAAAGCTGTTATAGTTGTAGTGGCTAGAAGACTCTAACAAGAATTGTTGTTGAAAAAACAGGATTAGCTGATTGTTACTTAGATTAAACCACATATCTATCCAATCCGGTGTACGCTTTGAAACCTGTTCAACATTGGACTTGGTTTCTTACCAATTTGCATGTATGACCAGCATTTTTGTTAAAACATCACTAGCATGTGTTGCATGTATGACTTGCATCTTTTGTTAAAACATTAATTCAAGTCAGCAGAAAAGGATATAAAATTGGATACAAATATGTCGATACATCTTATCATATTATCATAAATTAGAATATATGACTGCAAATAATGCAATATCATAAATAAATTTATTCATTTCTATTTTATTTATATAATTTTATTTCATATTGATTTTTTTTTATGTATTTTGATTTTATTTGAGATATTTTTTACATTACCATATATATTTAAGTAAAATGATTTTTTTTAATTAATTCCTTTTGCTAGAGAATTAATGATTATATCATAGTTCAGCATCCTAGAACAGCGAAGAAGGGTTGTCTCTTCAGAATGGGCGTTGAAAGGAAGACTGATTATTGAGAGTGATTGTAAATCAGCAGTGGATTGGATTAAAGCTCTTTCGTCGGTTCCTATTTTTCTTACAAATTTACTCAAAGAGATTGAATCTATTGTAGCAGAGAATGAGATGATTGTAAGGTTGATACCTAGGTGTTGTAATTGCGAGGCAGATAAGCTAGCAAAGGAGGGGATTGGTTGATTGAATGTTTTATTTGTAATTGTTAAGTTGTTTTGTGTGTTTTAGATAGCAGCTGACAGCTGTAATAGAGAATTGTTTAAGTATTATGTAATTGGTTTATCAATAATATATTAAGGCACTTTTCCTTCTTCCGCTCATGGTTCTTGCCTAACGGTAAAAGACTTCTATGAGGGAGGTTTTTAATGAGGCCTACTATTCCTATAAAAAAAAGACAACCATTATCGAAGACCCGGTGTAACAGAGCGCATAACCAAATATTTTGAACTGGTAAAACTAGGATTAAATCAGTTTTAGTTTTATTCTTTTACTTTTTTCCAAATGTTCATTTTAAATACTAATATTTGAATATTTACCCTCTTAGTTCCATATCGAAGGCAATAGTATTTAGCCAGCTGTATATATTTATTTAACATTCAGTATATTTAATACTTATTTAGAATAAAATTATTTCTATATTATAAATGCTAGAAATAATAGATGGCAAACTACAGGGGGAAAGTTTACCTTGAAGGCCCAAATCTACTATGTAAAGCTCTCCGGCTTGCATGAACTCCATCATTATCACCAAATTTATGGAGCTCAAAGGTGTTGAAATGCCTCTCTAATTCAATTAACTGATTGGTCAACTCCTAGAAATGGAAACAAAATTTAATCATAATAAAACCTCAAATCAAACATGATGCTTCACAACAACTATTAAATGACACACACCTGATTCAATTTCAATATATGTCGCTGCTTAAGCTCAACCTCAGGACTTAACTTTTGGCAATTCCACAGGTCCCAGTATTGGCTATCAGAAGCTTGTTTTATAATACCTTCTATGTATATTTTCCTTGCTAAAACTGGTAGCCAGAACAAGGATAAAAGGTAAATCATAGAAAACACAATCCATAAGGATGTTAAAAAAAGTGAATTAAACAAACTGTAAATCTCAAGAATTTAATTAAAATATCAAGTCGAACAAACTTACTTTTTTGTGTTTTACTTTTATATGTTTTAATCATTATAAGTTCCAATAGCTATAGTAGTAGTACTTTTATTGATTTTGACAGCTTTTGTGTCAAGCGAGTGTCAGGATTGGGTCCTCTTCAATTTGGATCACATTCAACTCAATTCAAGTTTCATTCACTTTCCAGTTCAAAAAAATCACATTTAGGTCACCTAGGATTCTTATTTTTTACCCTTATTTCCTCAGTTTGAACCCAAATTCAGTTTCCAACTACTTTGAAGAGGGTTCAAATTTTGATCAAATTACAGATCTTCAGGCAGTCTACGCATCTGATGCAGTCCTCACTCCTCTCACCATCTCAAGGCTGAATAATGTTCCTCCAAACTAAAAGTCCTCTCCAATGTACGTGGCAAATAAATTGCTTTCTCAGATTTTGAAAATATACTTAATGGAGCAATAAAGCAAGTATTATATAGGTGATAAAATAACCAAAATTCAAAAAGGAATTGTTGGTTGTTTAAGTTGCCAAAAAATTAAAATGCTTGTATATGAGACATTTTAAAATTGAAGGTACCTTCAACAGTTTTATCAAGAAGATGTTGGAGCTTCCCATGCTGCTCATCCATTACATTCTACAGGGCCCACAGACAATTATGTTGGGAAAACATTAGAACAAAAGCATGTAAAACAATCACATGGAAAACACTTCAAAAATCTTAAGTCAATGAATTATAATACTTCAAATTCTATTGACAACTCTACAAGGAGAAAACAGAGAACATTGCCCGATCAGGAATACAAGGATAACTTCATTTCATTTATTATACTAGCCAACTGTTCTCCAGCCCTATTCAACTTGGCAAAAAGTAGAAAGTCATAGAATCAAAATTATGCAGGCTTCCTTTTAATGGAACTATTTAAGCTCAATGTTTTAGAGTAGAATGAATCAAACATTTCATCAATATGCCAATCTATAAGTTTAAAAACTTGAACAAGTTCAGAAATCTACCCATCCAATTCGTTAGGCATTTTTTCCTTTAATATTGATGGGTTTTTAGTGGTACTGCAAGTGAACAGCAGTTCATTAACAATTCATGAACAGTTCTATTATGTTCATTCGTGTTTGTTTATGAAGCCAAAAAAATTACAAACAAGATTTCTACACTCAACCATTAAACAAAACAAACTAAGAGAAGGTTCTATTCCATTCATTTATGTTCATAAACAAACTTATCTATTGTTTGAATATGACATATATTATTGTGTTTAAAGGGTATGAAACATGTATAATACAAAATGGAGTGGACTTTGGTTATTGAAAAAATAAAATAGGCAAAGGGAAATAAAAAGTTAGGATTCAATTTCTAGATCCTCAAAGATGAGCAACCAGGAAATGCAGGAAGACAAAATGATGGCTCTAACACGGAGTTCTATTCTTTGTTCTTCCTTCTTAAAATACATTGGACAAAATGTTTTGAAATTGAAGATTAAAAAATGTCAGGCAGGCCATCTTCTCTTCCTTTTTCCTATTACATGTTGAGTTCTAATCCTAGACATCAATATCAAAGCACATTAACCAATCAAAAGCAACAGCTAAGTACATAAAATACAATCAAATGTATTGAAACCATCAATCACTGGTACAAAAGTTACCTTCCAACTCCTGCATTTTTCAGAAAGAACTGATATACCCTTGTCCAGCTCTTCAACTGAACTTCTCTGAGAAATAGTGCAAGCATCCCTAAAGCCACCAGGTTCTTCTATAGATTCTAGAAGTGTGTCCAATTCTTTGGCCATTTCTTTAATCTGGTGAGGGAAAAAATGTAAGTGCTGTAAAGATAGCAACCGTTTATTTTTTTTAGAAAAATACAAAAGCACCAGATTTCTCCCTTGCATGTACAATCAAGAACAGCATTTATTGCAAAAATTCATTTGTGTGAGATAGAAAATAATGCGACTAAAAGAGAAAATTAGGCCAGCTTTTTAACTTTTAATATGCATTTCCTAAAAAATTGCCACAAAACAACGAATGAATAGACTTAAGCCTATGATATTTCACAAACAAAAGGAAAATATATTCCACTACAAATGTTCCAAGTCTTAATAACCAACAACTGTACATAAAGCAACTGCAGTTCACTCCATGCAAGTACAAGCTAAAACAATGCATATGAAAAATCACATGGACAAGTACAGTAAAATGCTGATTGTTTCAATACCTGTGGTTCTGATTTCGACGTCCTTGACTGGGTTGCAGATTTGCGGTCATCCTTGAGGGGATAAAGATTTTGTTTGAGAGACTTTTCCATTGCCAAATTTAGCTGGGATGATAACTGTGACCCACGAATTAAAGGTACTGACTCAATAATTCCTGCTCCCATTGAAGATTTCTGAGCCCCAGTATCTAATGGTGTGGCTGAAATTTTATCGACGGAAACTGATATACCAGTATAATCTTTTGGATCTGAAGGTTTTCCAACATTGCCACCAGGAAAGCTTGTGGCACCTCTGGTACTCTGACAACTATTATACTGAAAAGGACTTGAAGATGAAAATGAACCTCTAGCATCAGACTCCTTTGAAAGCGTGAATTTTCCACTTGAAAATGGCTGGGATGATGGATTTGACCATAACTGAACTGATGCAGTCTGCAGGCCAACTGATCTAGCTTTAGCAACTGGTTCCTTAATCAGCTCATTTTTTATCGGTATGCTCCCATGATTTGGTTGTAATGAGTCTTCCGAAACTTTCCCCACAGAAGAAGCAATAGATCCAAATCCTGAAATTGTTTGAGTTTCTGTTTGACTACCATCCCTCACCTTGTTATCAAGTCCCTCTATTTGGGAAGTAGTCAGAAATGATTGTCCTGAATTAGTACCCTGCTCTCTAAAAAACATTTTTTGTTGAGTACCTGCTTCTTGGTATGGCTTTGAGGTTGGAGGTTTTTGTTGGCATACAGATTCAAAAGACTGGGAGTTTTTTAAGGACACTGAGCTTTGAACATCATCTTCATGGAATGGTTGCTCAGTAGCATGTCTAACTGAATTCATGTTCAATTGAGAAGGGTTTTCATCACTTTTAATAGGAACACCACTACTTCCATAAGTAAGAGGCTTTGTTTTGCTTTTATCCATGAATGAGGGAGACAAAGCTACCAGTTCTGACTTTTGTTCAACCTGTCCATAAGTAAGTTTAGGTGGATCAAATTCAGCAGATACCACAGCAGAGGTATTCTCTTCTTTATCAGAAAGGGCAGAAATATCAGGTGGAACAGCATTTTCACCAGCACTGCAGTAAAACCAAGTGCAATAACTAATTGTAAGTAAAGCATGATGATGATGCCTTCATAATGCAGACTTAGTCAGCTGCTTCAAGTAAAACCTTTGCTTGCAAGAATATATTTAATTGGGATGTAAGAAAACACCTTGCAATGTGAAACATGATAAGCTTGCCCTCTAATGTAAGGCATATTAGAACACAATATGGTGAAAGCTCCTTGACTTCTTCAACGCCAAGTTGCACCTTAACACTCCCAAACATAGATGCTTTATCAATGCAAAGCCCCATGATCAAATTATCCTCACCATTATCTAAGCACAAACCAAATTAACAAAGATTCATTATATTATAACAAAGTAACATTGAAGCAGCAATCAAGTTGCTGGAAGCTATTGAATACAATAGCGAACAGATTATAAGAATCAATAGCACAAAGCATAAAATGACACTATATTGTACCAAGTGTGCTAGTAATGTGATCCTTAATACAACATAGTCGGAAATTCAATTTTAAATTAAACTAGTCAGAATAAATGTGTATGGATGTCAAAATGAAAATTTTAGGAAGAAAAATATCACAGGATATAAAACCAGTCATGAAACATGACTTCTTAACAAAACTTGAAGAAGAACTGCTCAAGTTCTCAACTAGGAACTTGTTCTAGCCCCCTCACATAAGATGTTTGTTAAATCCATATTCTAAACGACGAGCACAAATGTTTTATAAATTGAATATTCAAATGTTTGTGCAAAAGATATTACAAAAGAGAAAACAATCACTTCAGCTATTTCTGCATAGTCAAAAAAGGCAATTATCACGTGCAAGATAAACCTTGAAGCTCAATCCTGGGGAGCCACTTATCACGTTCAATATCAACAATTGAAGCCTCACTCATCTCACCAAGTGACCAACCGAGCAACACAATATGCTGATCTGTATTCTTTCTGTTAGCAGCAATAGCAAGCTCACTGTAATAATAAAAAGCAAAAAATTACACTTTAACCAAAATTGGGAATTGGGAATAATTTCTTGAGAGATTGAACAAAATGTAAAAGGTAAATGATATGAATGCATAAATTAAAACAAAGAACAGGAGTTAGCTAGTTAATTGATCTTCAAATTATAGAATGTATACAAGTTCTCCATTCATGAACTTGATGTACAAGTTTAAATCATCTAAACAGCAAAGAAAACAGAGAACAAAAAGGAATTAAATTTCAAGTTTGCATGAGTTATTGTGACTAAATACCAGATTTGGCACTTGCAATTTAAGGGATTAGATGCTTTTTATCTATATCTATAATATATGGTATAGATAATGAAAGCATATATGTGTTTTAACTTTTGATTGACGAAAAACATTACTTCAATATTGTTTCTAAATTGTCCTTAAATAATTCTTATATTCAATTAATAGTAAATTAGAAGCAATATGATTTATTTAATGTACAAATAAGAAATCTATTTTTATTGAATCCCTTGTATAAAAATGATGGATGGATATGATTACAGTTTAAATAAAATAAGACAAGAAGTATTCATGTGCAACAAGCATCACAACAAATGGCAAACCTCCAAACAAGGAGTAAGAAAAATGAAAGAGTATGAAATTATATCAACTCACCATTCCTCCAAATAGCTCAAAAATAAGTAAGGCCCGGTTCCGAAGGGCACAATGTCATCAATTAGACCCGCAAACAAATCACTGAAGGATAGAACGACCAAATCGGAAGTAGTCTGCAATGAAATTGCTAAAACATTAATGCATAATAACATCACATTGAAGACGGACATTTTGTAAAATCAAAGGTTCATCACAAACCAGGAAAAGCAATAGGCTGCCTGCTGAGCAACATAAAGACATTTTCTTAATTTGGAGTCTGGGAATTCAATCCGTGCAATTTAAAAAAGGGATCATGCACCAACCAACTTATGCTAATAGTAGGTGCTAAAGCCACCTTTTGAATATAATGGTATAACCCTAATAATTAGCAATTCAAATAAAGAAATGTGCATTGCCAAAAATAATTAGCATTCATAAAGATCATCATTTCATTGAAGGTAGGAATCCCAAACATCTTGGGAGGTAGAAACATGTCCCTCTCCTTTTGAATCAAGTGCTTTTAAGTAAATGCATTAGCCTAAGTTTATAGATTTTTTTCTTTTTTTGAGAAAAAGTTCATGGAAATTAAATATATACCTTTTGGGGGAATTTTTCCATGCAAACTCTTGAGTACTAATAACAGTATAAAAGTCAAATGCTAATGATGTTGACAATCACAAATATGAGAGTTTGTTATAGTATTCACATATTCTCCATCTATAAGAAGTTAAAACTCCAAAAGCAAAGTAACTGCAAAAAAGATAAAACTATAAAAATTGGCAAAGCAAGGCAGAATTTTGCCCACCCCAAAAATTGGCAAAGATAAACCAAATGCAGATGTTACTATCCAATTAGCAAACTCCAAATTAACCTCTCTGACTGGTAACCATCATATTAATTGCAACAAGCAGTGAAGATGATAAACTAAACCTTATCCCAAAAAAATTCAAAAGAAAGTCGTCAATTTACTGTTACGGGATTGGTAATTACATCGGTGATTTTTCCTGTCTTGCTTTTGACTACTTGGACAAGGTAATTTTCCTCTTGTGCATCTCTGGTAAACTGAAAGCATCCGAGAATAATGCAATCGGAACGAATCCATCTGATTGTATCCACTGAAAAAATTATGGAATAAAAACTGTTCAGTGTCAAAGGGTGTAGAAAATTTGAAATTTTAAACAAAAATGATAGAAAATATATAATAGATTAGCATATGCTTTTAAGAATGTGTTTAGGAATAACCATGATTGATGAAAAAACAAAATCAAACACATAAAAATGTGAATATTAAATACACCTTAAATAATTCAGCTGCAGAACTAGAAAAATAAACAATAACTTAACCTGAAATAACATTGATATCTCAATTGCAATTTTTTATGTGGAAATTGAATTTTTGAGCTCAAAAGATTTCTAAGGAACACAATTTAACACTTCAAAATAAGTATGCAAACAATATCCAACATGGAAGTCTATGATTTTAAGTGTTTAACAATAACCAGGATTGGTGGAACAAGAAGGTCATACACATTATAATGTAAATAAATACACTTCAAATACTGCAGCTTCAATATCTAGAAAAATTAAATACTACAATTTAACCTGAAATAAATTTTTAACATAAAAAATGAATTTTAAGGTCAAAATATGAATACAATTGAACACTTTAAGATAAGTATACAAACACAATGGCTTACCACACTGAAATAAACGCCATCAAGAATTAAATGCCAAACATGAACTCTACAATAAGGTGCCATAGAATTTATTTCAGTTTGCTTTCCTAAAATGAAAAAAAGGAAATCTTATCTTTTTGACAAAGTCAGAACAAATTCAACTTCTAATATGATTATAAATATACACACAATTACAAACAGGAATAAGGTAATATATGGCTAACATGTAAGAAAGATCTGTAAGCAAATTCAACGTAATATCTAAAGGAATTTTTAGGTAAAAATAAAATAAGCTCACCTTTTAAAGTGCAATCATCGGAATCACCAACCCAGGACTTGAATGGAAGAGTTATGCATAATTTCTCAGTGAGACTGGATGACAAAATACTAAGAGTATTATCTTTTGCCACAGCAACAGAAGCACCTTTTACACTCCATTCAACTAAGAAAATAAAATGAATATTGTTAGATCTTAGAACATAAAAAATTCCAAAAGGTGAAAAGGGGAAGCAAGGTGAGAGAATTTGATGTTTATAGCATTCTTTCGTAAGATACTCTTCATACAATGCTAATGCATAGCTAGGTTCAACTAAAGGAATGGGAAATATAAACAAATTAGAGAAGAATATAAGGACCTCAAAATTTGATTAGAAAAAGGGGGAATCACCATGGTGTTATTTAAGCTATAAGCAGAACAAAAGAATTGAATAATGTTTAGTGATGATTGATAATTGAAAGATAGATGTTCAGAGATACCAGCATCAACATCGTCCATCACATGCTTAAGAGGATGAGAAATATTTCCGTGATATAGCTTTCTATCATCTGAAAGAACAAGGAAAGAATTATCTTTCCTTTCTCTCCATTGAATATCCTTGACAACGCTTGACCCAGATAATGAAGTGGAGAAACATGGCTTTATATCCTACATATAGGCAGAGTCCGTCATGAACATGACATAATATTAGAAACAGCCTCCTAATTACAATGAAAGAAACAATACCTTAGTGAGTAGGGAGTTGACACTGAAAAAATTAATATCAGCTGCAACAGAAGCCGCAAGTATGGTATCGTCAGTGGTTGAAAGAGCAAGGATGTGAACCTTACCAATTGGAACATCCACCACACTCAGATCTTCAATGCTAGAAGAGGTGTCATTTTCCTTAATGTCCTTAGCCAAATCAATCACATCCTTGGTCCTCGCCACCAAGAACCCTAAAACATTTGATAAAGTTCAAAATTTATCTATTTATAAAATCTTTTAATTAATTGACACCAAAAAAACACATTTTACAAGCGCTTAGCCAAATCAATTACATTCTTAGTCTAGGAAATCAAGAACCTAAACATTTAGCTTTATTATATCAATCATTTATTAACTAATCAAATGAAAAAAGTTACAAATTACAAGAGCAGAAACACAAAGAGAAATTTTAAACCGAACACACCAGAAGAATGAGCTAGAAACAGCAGCTGTAAACGTTGACTGAGGGCGAGAGGCTTTGAAGGAGGGCTTTGGAGATCGAACTGGAAATCTGACCTGACAGGTACGGGTTCACCGATTTTCTCGAAGAAGAAATCCTTGGTTTCGACATGCTCCCCTTCCTTCTCTTCCTTAATTTCAAGCTGCTTGCCCATTATCGGTATTCAATTAATCAACTTCTCTAACATCAATCAGTCGTTTATCCGATAAGTTCTATAAGTGCTTTCCGGTTAGACAGCAGAATACTCAACAAAACCCTAAGGCTAGCAAGACACCCTCGGCAAAACCTTGTTTAATACTCAATGAAAAAAGTGCGCTCCTGTAAATGGGCTCTCTTATTGCTATTTTCCCAGACAGGTTATTAGTTGGGCTTACATTTTCACTAAATCCAATACTGTGGCAGGCTTTCTTTTTCCTTTGTCAATAATTGCAGGCCAATAGGTCTAGTATTATCTTAGGCTTAGCTTGATAAAATAAAAAAATTGAAAAGTAAAATGTAAATTAGAAGAATAAAAAAACAAATATAGAAAATATTTTTTCTTTCAATTGTTAAGAATGATAAAGAAAATTGAAACACAATTATTTTTTATTGTTTGAAAATTGAGAAGGGGAAGAAAATTAAATTTTAAAAATATATAATTTGAATTAGTTTACATTTTCTATTTTGTAACATCTCCAAATGCTAGGCTAAATTGAAGTGTTATAAAACTTTTCTACTTATGTAAGAGTTCTCGAGAGGTTGAGGACTTGTAGCGTAGTTTACCCAAAAATTAGGGTTAACACACTTAACCCCTGTTCCACTTTACTTTTTTGTTTTCTTTGCATTTTGAATTTTTCTATAGTTTCCACCCATTTTCTCTCTTAACATTTGTTCTTTTTATTTTGTTTCGTCACCGCTTTGGTCATCGTGTTGGATACCTCCAGCATCACTCGTCGACCCCATTCGTCTCGTGTTCTTAGATTGTCGTTCATCGTCATCATCGTTTGCAAGCAGTGAAAGTTCAATTATTTGGATTTCGTTAAAAACCCCATCTTCGTCGATCTTTACAGAAAAAATGAAGTTTGTAAGTGACTCCCCATGCCTTAAAACATTTTCTAAAATTTTTTCATATTTTTGGGCCATTGTAGCTAGCCTCACGCGCCACCGTTCGCGAGTGGGCTTGTTCTCGACGGTTCGAACAATAAACCGATTCAACTAAACTGGTCCTAAACCAGTATAACCCCTAAATTAATCTGACTAAATCAGTTTAAATGAACCAATTTGAACAAAATAATCATACCCTAAACTAGACCGTTGATCATTGACTATTAATTGTTGACTTTGACCATTGATAGTTGACCGTTGACTTTGATATTTGAGTTTTTCTCGTTGACCCCTTACCTTTATGTTGTTCGATGTCCTTAGTCTGATTTCACTGTCTGTTTTGCCAAATTCTAACATGTGTCATTTATTGCTTAAAGTATTAGTTTTGTTAAATAAATTGTATGATTTGAACTCACTTTTTCGTGTTATTTCTAAAGGTGAATGTAACACCTAGACCTAATTGGGCCCAAAGTGCGACGTTGGGCTTATCGAGGCAACCATTGATTTTCAAAACATGTTCATTTTCTTTTCAGGCATGTTGAATGGTATCATAAATAAACATAAATAACTTTTATAAAACATTTTACAAAAAAGAGCTCTGTTACACATAATTTAAAACCAAAATAATACAAACATTGAGTTTAATAAAATAACTACATGAGTAAGTTCTATGAATACATATGGCCACTAAAACTACAATACAATACTCTGAAGGAGATGCTGGAAGTCCTGTTATGACGGTGCTCCACGAACTGCTCAAGCTATTGACCTGCCAACGGAAAACATCCGAAGGTTGGGCTTACAAAGCCCAGCAGTATAATCGTTAATCTAGAGTAACATAAGAATTTCATAAACATAATTATGCTGAAGACATGGTACTAAGCATTAGGCACATGCATGATCTAGATCAAGTGCTACCTACTTAATTTATCACTTAAGAAGTAGACTCATGCTTCCCTTAGTCTTATGCTAAGGGCCTGGCCATGAGTACACCTCTAAAGGGTCTTTAACCCTAATGATTATAATTGATACACATTATTTAAAGGTGACACTGATACTCTTGTGCATTATCTGAATGCAAACCTGACCATATTGTGCAATATATAAATGCACCCTGACTAGTATCTGTCTTACTTAGCCATCAACACTAGTTACTGAGGGAACCTTGTGTCACATAGTATCGGTGAAATTCCACTAAACTGTTGAATGATCTTATGGTCCTCACATAGCCATCAAGTAGATCATATAGAGGGAACTCGACATCACATAACATCAGTATAATTCCTACTTAGCTGAAACATTGGCTCGGTCTCACATAGCCTTCAAGCCAAGCTTTAACATATCTGATGTATTGGACTGATGCAATTATACATATATGTTTAAGGCCCAGATGCCACACAACACTGGCATCGCTAACCCACTCCTCGTGAGTGTTCAGGCCTCGCGCCCTAGTTAGCCCCTGATGTGCCTTGCGCACTGACAATGCCCCACTAAGGCAACTAAGGTAACCTGACTATACCCTAGCATAGCTGGACTCACTAAAGTGAGGCTATCCTCTCACTAGTTGCTATCTCCCTCATTCTCTCATCTAGAACGTTATGCGAAGGCTTATTAGTCTGTTACTGTTGTTATTTATTAAGTTGATATATTCTGGTCGTTTATTACTAAAGGTTGCTTTAGTCACTTTGACTCAAGAGTATCAGTGTCATATTTAGATAATGTGTAGCATGTTCAGTCGTTAGGGTTAGAGACTCTTTATATGTGTTCTCATAGAGAAGCCCTTAGTAGATGATTAAAGGAAACATGAGACCCTTATTTCAGTGATAGAGCAGTAAAGCCTTAAGTAGGTAGCACTTGATCTAGGTCATGCATGCACTTATTACCTAATATCATGTCTTCAACATGCTTATATTTATGAAATTCTTATGTTGCTCTAGATTAACAATTATACTGTTGGAATTTGTAAGCTTAACCTTCGAATGTTTTTTGTTGGCAGATTTCTAGTCTCGGTCGTTCGCGGAGCTCCATCATAGCATGACTTCCAGCATCTCTAGCAGAGTACTATATTGTAGCTTTAGTGGGAATGTGTATTCATAAAACCTTACTTATGTATTTGAGTTGTAAACCTCAAGATGTATTATTTGTTTTAAATTATGTGTAACAGAGATCTAATTTTGTAAAATGTTTTATATTCGTTATTTATGTTTTAATTATGATATCATTCAGTATATTTGAAAAGAAAATGAATAGGTTTTGATACTCAAGAGTTGCCTCGGTAGCCCAATGGGGTAATTTAGGCCCAATCGGGCTTAGGGTGTTACACTAACTCTAATCTCCTAATTTGTAGAGAAGATATCTCCTAACTTATTTATGTCTCTTATCTACTTGTATAGAAACAACTATTGTATCCTATTGTAAAACAAAAAAATTCTGAATAAAATTCTTTGTCTTCTATCGTAAAAACCTTAGTTTACATGGTATCAGTTTAGGTTCGATCTCTCACTACTCTTTCTCGGACGTCATGGTCAATCCCCTTCTGTCCGACTTTCCATTCAAGGTTGGGACTTCTATCGCCCAGCCATTGCCACACCCATAACTCGTATACATCTCGAAATACAAGTTAAAGATGTTACATTAACATTACAGACATTCATTGATCATAGACGCTTAAAAATTATTAAAAACATAAAATAATATTTAATCGATCAAAATGAATTCAGTTTTAGGCAATAATTAGGCAAACTTACTATTTTTTCATAAACTATTTAAAACCTTCCTAAATACTACTTACTTTGTAAACATTTTAAAAACATAAACGTAGCTAAATACTATTGATTTATAAATACGGATATAACTGGATTAACAAAAAAAAGGTCCTAGTTTACTATTACAGACCATTTAAAACAAATCTGATAAAGCATCATACAGATATAATATACATGCCACTAATAAGTTAAAGATAATATGTCTTACTGATACTGATATTAGGTATGATTTTCTGAAAAGATGCTCAATGGGCTCCTCACATGTTCCTTTCTCTATCGGAACCTACGCATGAAAAGCATCACACACTAAGTAAAACTTAATGAGGCAGTAACTTAGCTAAGGTGAGACAAAACATAAATATCATAAAGTAGTATAAACATAAAACTGTAATCTAAACAAAAACATTAAAACTTCCAAACCGAGCTATCTAAGATGTTTTCATCTTGAAAACCTGAAAATCATTATCTCATGATTTTATCAAAAATCATATAAGTCAATATGAAATATAACAAACAATTCTTATTCTTTTCATTCATACATATTCCATAACTTTTATTTCATTTCCATATTCTTTACTTTCTTATACTTTTCATAATAACTTTCACATTTACTTTCATAGCCCAATGTATATGTAAGAGAATGTAAGGTACGTGAGTCAGACGAGTGTGCGTAATAAGCACTTCAGCGTTAACATCGTAATCAGAATATGCACTCCAAGTGCGTTCATATCATTTACACCAACGGTGCTACACATAATGTACACAAATGTACAAGATCATAATCATAATCATTCCACCTCATGGCATGCCAATTGTACCTATGACTCTCAATACAACATACAATGGGCTTTCATATCATATCTTATTCATTTCATAATCAATGTTTCAAATTTAGAATCATTTTTACTTTATCATCATCAAAATATAATGTGGCAGTTCATACCCTATCATCGATAAAACTTTATACAAACATTATGTAAATAATTCATACTTAAATTAAAAAACATACTTTAAAATAAAACGAGGTTGACTTATCACAAGTCATCCTCAATCAGATTAATTAAATAAACTAATTGTGCTCACTTAGACACTTTACTTATAAATTAAAATATAAGTCTCACTAAGCTTTAGGTTTAATCCTTTGTTTTTCAATTGTTTCAACTACATAATTTATCTTAATTTCATACTCTGTCAGTTTACACTACCATCAAATAAGTATTATTATGTATTAATCTACTTATTTAAAAATTATTTCGTTTATACCAAAAAACACTAGACTCAAATACGAATCTAACCATATAAGGAACTTCTTATAATTCAACTTGTACAATTTACGGAGAATTTTCAAAGCTAACTTACAGAAGTTGTTTCGAGCGGAATATGTTGCCTTGTTTTCTAACC